TATATATATATAGCAGGTGCAATAGAGAAGTCTAGGTATAATAAAAGCCTAGAGAGGACTATAGAAAAGTATAAAAAATGTCAAAGCAGGTGTCCTGCGCTACTTTTAGAAATGTTTCATATCATAATTCATTTGCAGCAAAATTCTAAATCTCAAAAGCACAAAACAGATTAATAGGAGCAGACTAAATGTCCCTCTTAAAACTGACTTCAAAGCCTACTTTGAAGTTATTCCTCCGGGTCCAAGGCATTAAGTTTTTCCCCCTCYGGAGGCCTCTGTGTAACCTTGTGAGGCTGAGCCAACGGGAAACCTCTGAGCTTCTCTTGCAGACCGCCTACAGCCAGCCTCATCTGGTCTTCAGCCCCCTGGAGAGACTTCAGCTCCATGGTGTAAAAGATGTAGAGCAGAGAGGTGCTCAGCAGGATGGCGAAGCACAGAGCAGCCAGCAGGTAGAAGGAGGTACGAGGGAAAGGCTGCTCTGCTCCCAGAGCGAAGCAGGGAACCGCCGCGATGGCCAACTCCAGGAACAGCAGAGCCAGGCCCATCACTCCGGTTCGTGCTGCCGTGTAGCGCATCCTCTCAGCGCAGTGCAAGCCCACTTTCACCTCTGTGCGAGCCTCTGTCACGATGTCAACCAGCTCCGCCAGCTTCCCTGAAGGAGTGAAAGAGAGAACATGGACATTGAGTAAATTAAAGTCCTGAACTGCTCAATATAAAAGTTAGAGAGTAAAATGATTTAATGACTGTAGCAACACCAGAAGACCTGTGAAAATAAATAAAGCCAAAAACTAACCTGAATTACTTCAACTAGTCATTCTGCTACTTATTGACCCAGAATGATGCATACAGGTTATTATCTGTTTATCTGGCTTTTTCAACTCTGCTGCCTCATAAATCAGTTCAGGAGTGAAGAAACATGAACTGCAATAAGCTTACATAATGTCTCTGTGTGAATGCAGAATCAGCATTCACACAAACACGTTTTTTTCTTTGTTTTAATTATTCACCACGTTTTTTTAGTCCAACTACTTCTAATAACTTTGTGCTATTTTAGTCATTCATACATCCAAACATTTAGCTCATTTAGTAAGGTTTCAGGTAGGGTTGGGCATAATCGTATCGTGTGCAATTAATAGTCAGAAAAACATTAATCGATTATTTTTTGGGACTTGACGATTAATACGAGTAATGCTACCAGGCGGACTGACTGGAGATGTATTCAGTCAGTCTGCTCGGTGCTCCTCTGCGCCTCAAATATGACAAATATTTTTTTAAAAAGTTCTGTAATTTATTTATCTATCAACACAATTTAAAATTTGATTTATAGCCTGAAGTTTATAATTTTGACACAGTTTAGAACAGATTTTTACGAAGAGCAAATCTTTCCTACTAAATTAGTCATGTGACCAGGACATAAGGGTGTCCAGGGATTCCAGGGGATAGTCGTCAAATTAATGGTTATTGGCTAAATACCACAATTAATCGTGATTTTTTTTTTTTCAATATTGCCAAATCCTAGTTTCAGGTTTGATCTTTGGTTTTGGTATTTTAAATTCTTACTTTATTCACAAAAATGTTGCCACATAGAAAGGTACTGATATCTCTATGTTTGTCTTATTATGCTACTTTGAACTTTTAGGYATTGTTTTGCTACTTTTAGTGAGYATTCTGCTACTTTTAGATTTTAGCAACCGTTTCGCTAATTTTGGCTAGTATTCTGYTTCKTTTAGCTTTAAACACTTAGTTTCACTTTCTTCAGCACAGTTCAGCTTTTAGCATTCACACTRCATTTAYAAAGAGAARTTRCATTTTCCTAKCTATTTATGTTCTTAATTTTCTAAACATTTATTTTCATCTACCAACCAGTACTGTTTGTCATCCGGATGCTGCTGCTGTTAAACCTGAATTTCTCCTCCACGGGACAATAAAGGGTGTTTCTTTTCTATTCTATTCTATTCTATTCTATTGGCTGTTACCTGCAGGAGAGTCTTCAGTCTTTGATTGTTTGCTACTTTCAGCCTCAGTTGGAACGCTGGACTTCAGTTGCAGCTGAGCAGTAAGAGCCTCATGATCAGAGTACGGGAACGGATGGTCAGGAACTGAGCCTTTGGTGGTGGACATGAAATTGCAATAAATGTCGGTTTTGGAGGTTCCCTGAAATAGTAAACTGAGGTGAATAAAAGTATTTGAAGAGTCTAAGATTCTGTAACAAAGACTTAAAACAAATGACAAAAAGTAAAACAGCAATGGTGTTAATTCAACCCACCTTGAACAAGATGTAGTCGATTCGAATGCCCTTCTCAAAGGGAACAAGCTCCTTTTTATTTATAAATGGGTTGTCCGCAATAAGAGTAATACCGTTTTCACAACCCTGAGAGAAAAAAAGAAAAAGAAAAAACACCATTTCTCAACTTGAAGTACGTAAAAACAACAGATAACGCAAACATTTTATATATTAACTATTTTTGCATACTTGCATACAAAATTACCTTTTTTATTTCCTGGTGCAGATCATGAGATATTAACCACAATTAAACTTATAGAAAGTAACTAGTGACAAAGTGAAGAAAAACTAAAACTGAAACACTGAGGTAAGACTGGGTGTGGTAGTAGCTGAGAGCAGTGTTTTCGTTAACGATGACAAAATATTTTCGTTGACGCCCCTTTTTTAAGGCTTGCGGAATTCGCAAAACTTGTGCATGTCGTGCAATAAATAGTTCCACCAGAAGATTGAGTTAAAAACAATAGCATGTTTTAATCTATTAGCCTGGTTAACTGTTTTACAACCATTCAAAACTGTGCTTTTATTATCTGCTGCTATAGTCATTATAATCTACATATTATTACAAAAAAACCTGCTGAAATGTTAAAAAAAAAAAAGAAAAACGGAAAGAGTAAAATAGGCTTCTGATAAAATATGGCTAAAACTACAAGTTTTACATGATGTAATTCTGCAAACAAATGAATTATTTTACTGTGTACTTTTCTTGTTGCTACCTACATCAAATTTAGCAGTTTCTAAGTAGGAGTCTCGCAGTCCAGTGTAAGATCTCAGTAGTCTGCAGCCAAGGTCCTGAGGGTGCATGTTGAGGTCGCCTCCTACAACGACCACGTCTGCTCCAGCTGAGGTATGACTTTAAGAACACAAAGAACATCAAGATAAGACGTCTCGTTAGCAATGTTACACCAAGCTGTTCAGCTACAGCCGGTATCTCACTGGGCTGAAAGTGTTGGCGACTTGTTGGTGAAAAGCTTTCATGAGGGAGTCTCCAAAATGTCTCAAAACATTTGCAGGAGTTCTCAAATCCCACGTGAGGCACAGGAGGTTATGATGTAAATGGAAGTGAGAAAGGACATTTTAATGTGCGGTCTACGGCAGTGGCGTCACTAGCCACTATATTTTAAAGCCCCCCTAAATTATTTTGGTGTAATTTTTTTTTACAAAAATTCAATATGATGTGGTTATGGTACTGAACTTATAGAGCGCTTTTCAAGTCCCTCCGGACCCCAAAGCGCTTTACACTAACAGACATTCACCCATTCACACTCACATTCACACACTGATGATGGCAAACTACACTGTAGCCACAGCTGCCCTGGGGCACACTGACAGAAGCAAGGCTGCCATGCATCGGCGCCACCGGACCCTCTGACCACCATCAGTAGGCAAGCCAGGTGGTGTCTTGCCCAAGGACACAACGACTGAAAAGGCTGGACAGGGGATCGAACCAGCGACCTTCCGGTTCCAGGACGACTCACCTAACCACTCTGCCACAGCCGAAAAAAAGGCACTGGTTTCTTGAGTTATCTGAAACCGGTTAGGTTTTGCAACCTCGGACTTGATAAGATAAGATAAGATAAGATGAGATAAGATGAGATAAGATAAGATAAGATAA